AGTCTTTGGTATCCAATCACCATTGCTGTAGGTTTGTTGCGGGAAGGTTCCTCGATATTCGGGTCGAGGACGTTGTAGATCTTCTTGTGATTGACGAAAACGATCACCGTAAGGATCTGGAATGATGTTGTATAAGCGAGAAGCTCTAAGAAGATCCCATCATCCAAAAAGGCAATTTTATATCAATCTTCGCATCAGTCGATGAATGTTTTCCAAGCAAAACTGTTTGGCAAACGATTCAGTGTGAAGGTAGAATGGCATACGCGCATAAGAATCAAGGCTGTAATCGAAACAAAAACATAAAAATGACTGATTGATACCGGATGTAGGGCTGGTATCTGTAGACAAGAACTCTTTCCTGGCCTTCTCCATTTTGGATTTATAACGACTGGTTCGTCGCGATGAACCACGCGTCAAATCATCATCATCAGTTGATCGACGAGGGTGGTAGATACGTTCTTTGGCAAATGACGTTAATCCAGACTCAGGCGACTGCTCTAGGGATGTGATTCTCTCTCTGAATCATTATCACACTTTCAAGCGAGTCATAAAAATTAGCTCGAAAAGGTAACATGTTCTGTGCGAACCTAAATACATCAATAATTTTGTTCTGACTAAAACATCATCATGTCTCACGATTATTTTGATGTCCATGAAAACACCATACTGACGTAATATTAATTAAATTCATCATGGCTTTTAACATCTAAAGCTCACTGGATCATAAGTACACTTCTAATGCTTTCAATATCCATCAGTCTTTCAATTTTGAGTATTTGAAGTAACCGAGGGAAGGGTTCTCAAAACAAGGTTAGCAGATGTTGTGCAGTGGGAGCGCTTGAATGAGCACACTCTCTTTCGCTTTAATTTTTAACTTTAGTTTTGTTACAGTTCATTTGATGATTATGTTACATGCTTGAGACACCATGAAATCATGTGAACGATTTATGTTCATTTCTAAACTACATTCTGCATATTCATCCTGGGGAAAGTCATTCTCTTATCAATGTTTTTAATCGAACGGAGTGAATGATCACTGCTTGGTGAAGTTCTGATGCAAAAATTTGTTTCTTTCTTTCGAATGCATCAAATTGATCTGAATACCGATAATAGGATCATCTTTTTAAGAGCAGATTCCAGCATTTTTTAAACTGCTGATAAGAACTGTGGCTACAGAAACGTGGTTGTGCAGCAAATCAAATCTATCAAAGTATTGATTGCTCTGCCTAATCTCATGCCTGCCGCATCTAAACGAATTAATAAAGAAAATTCTAAAAATAATGAGTTGAATGCGATCAACATTTTGTTCTGGTGATAAGTACTAGTAAATGCTATCTGTTTGCATTGAGTTTCAATGAGTATAAA